TTAAAAATAAAAATAAATTAAATAACGTAATCTATTACAATCTTTTCAAATTGGATGGATTGAAAACAAAGTGGAGAAGATTCCATCACCTTCAATCTCAATCCTCTCCATTTAAATGATTTACCCAATCTAGAGAAGATGTTCTCTCTTCCTTAGTCTCTTCTCCTTATTTTTAACTTCTTTAATCCAAACAAAATGTTCAAAAGAGAGGGGAGAGAGAAGTTGCTACAAAGAAACCATACAATGTTTATCCATCATACATCTTAAAAATTAAAAAAAAAAAATATTTTAAAATTATGTTATAATAAAATATCACCAAGAAAAATAAAAAATAGTTTAATTTATATTTTAAAAATAAAATATTTTAATTTTTTATAAAAAAAATATATTAAAATAATATAATTTTAAGATAATTTTACTCAATTTTTTAAAATTAAAGCATATGGGCAATATTCCTTGTACAGTCAACTATTGATCTGCCAAAGAAAATCTTTTTTTTTTTTCTTATTTTGGTTCATGGTTTTTTTGTTTTTTTTTTTGGGTAGATATTTTGGTTCATGGTTGCTAGCAGCAGCAGGCCTTTCATATCGTCAAGGCATGAGGTTAGAGAAAATTGTGAAATATACATCAAGACCTTGGGCCAATGTTAACTTTGCTTTTCTTGTTTTCCAGACCCGCAAAAGATGGTAGGTCCTCTCCTTGTTGACTTGACCATGCCATTTGCAGACCCAATGTGGTGGGTCTTCACGGCCCAAATGATCATATGAATAAAGAATTTTATTTCAGGTTGGCCGGAAGAGTAGAAGAGAACAAATTTCTCACGTTTGAGGGAGAATTGGGGATGGCTCCCCAGTCCCCCTACCCCTTGCTTTTAAACCAAAATTATAAAGAAAATTCTTCTAAAAAAAATTATATCAAAAAAAATTCATCTCTTCCCCTTCTTCTTAAATTGAATAAACTTTTAATTTTTCAAAAAATAAGACTGATGGTCACTATCCTCTTTACATAATAATGAAATAATTATTTAAAATTTTTATGTATATACAACTCCCTCGTTTGATTTAATGAGTCTAATTTTTTTCTTCAATATAAAATAAAATATGGATATAATAATTAATCGATAGAATTTTATGTTTATCTTAATTAAATATTATTTAAAAGGTATATTTATCTTATATTTTAAGGATATATGATAAAAAGTAATAATTATGTAATTATTATAGTTTTTTATGTTAAAATTAGTAAAGTTAGCTTTTATTTTAATTACCAATACCACATGTTAATTTTCTATTCGTTCATTTTAAAATTAAAATAATAATTTATTTTTTTAATTTAAAATCTCATATCTTTTAAGAAAAAAGTGATAATTATTAACTTAATAATTGTTTCTTATCTTATGTCTTAAATGTATAAGATAGATAAATCCTTGCTTAAATAAGCATTCTTGATATAATGATGTTGTAATTTTCTTCTTAAAATAAGGATAATTATAAATAAACATATTAAATGAAATATTAAAAAGAAAAAATAATTAATTAATTTTAAATGCCTAAATTAAAAATTAAATTAAGTAAGGTTGAAGGAATCTAGTACTATTATTCTAATTAATTAGGAAAGCAAACCTCAGTGGTCCCATGATAGCAAAATATTTCCCTTGAATTCTCATGAGGAAAAATCTGCCCTCTACCAACCCCAC